ATTTATAATGATGCATGACATATGCATTTTTTTGTTTTTGTTTTTGTTTTTGTTGTTTTTTTTTTTTTTTTTTGATGCATGATTTTGAAATGCGCGACAACACGCGGCTCTTGGGATGCATGACAATGCATATTGATGTAAGTGCGTGACCACACACGTCTTTCGATATGCATGACAATGCATGTGAACCTGAATGCGCAACCACGCGCGTCGTTTGAAATGCATGTATAATGCAACCGAGCAGGTTTAAGGTCTCGCCAGACCGTCAAATGAATGATTTTGAAATACGTGACAAAATGCGGCTTTTGAGATGCATGACAATGCATGTTGATGTAAGTGCGTGACAACGCACGTCTTTTGATTATGCATGACAATGCATGTGAACCTGAATGCGCAACCACGCACGTCGTATGTAATGCATGTATAATGCAACCGAGCGGGTTTAAGGTCTCGCCAAATCGTCAAATGCATGATTTTGAAATGCGCGACAACACACGGCTTTTGAGATGCATGACAATGCATGTTGATGTAAGTGCGTGACAACGCACGTCTTTTGATTATGCATGACAATGCATGTGAACCTAAATGTGCAACCACGCGCATCGTATGTAATGCATGTATAATGCAACCGAGCAGGTTTAAGGTCTCGCCAGACCGTCAAATGCATGATTTTGAAATGCGCGACAGCACGCGGCTTTTAAGATGCATGACAATGCATGTTGATGTAAGTGCGTGACAACGCAGTCTTTTGATTATGCATGACAATGCATGTGATCCTGAATGCGCAACCACGCGCGTCATATGTAATGCATGTATAATGCAACCGAGCGGGTTTAAGGTCTCGCCGGACCGTCAAATGCATGATTTTGAAATGCGCGACAACACGCGGATTTTGAGATGCATGACAATGCATATTGATGTAAGTGCGTGACCACACACGTCTTTCGATATGCATGACAATGCATGTGAACCTGAATGCGCAACCACGCGCGTCATATGTAATGCATGTATAATGCAACTTATCAAAAGTCGTTCGGGCATGGCAAACACCGAAGAACTTGCATCTTTAGAGGATTAAAGGTCTCCTAGACCGAGCGTATTTAAGGTCTCGCTAGACCATAGCGAATGCAAGAATTTTGTTATTTTGAATGCATGATTATGCATGTGCATGACAATGCAAGATGTGTGCGCAATGACGTGACAGAAATGACGCAAAATCAGCGCGCGTTCACGACAGAGCGTTGCAAC